AGTATGACTCGGCCATCGTGCGTCGATACCAGTTAGGCTTTGTTCACCCCTGTGTTGCTTAAGGAGGTTTTCACCATTTGAGCTAGTTCATAAATCGACGAAACGAGACTGACCTTGTGCGACTTTTTTTTAGGATTCCAAAACAACGATTCGGGCCAAATTTAGTTTGTCCAGCAATTAGAAAAGAGTGCTTGAGAGACTAGTCACTGACCACTGGACTACTAACGCCTCACAGAGCTGTAATTACTCCGGTACTTGTCATTGACGGGAGTAGAGTCATTCCTGGCCATTTGGAGTAATAATCAACAGCAACGAGGTAGTTCCCACCATTCTTGTGCAGAATATCTGTGCCAACCTTAGCCCAAGGCAGTGTTGGAATTTCGTACGACTTCAATGGTTCAGGCTGCTGACTTGGTCGATTTTCTAGACATACAGGACAGTTTTCAATTTTCTTGGTTATCTCCACACTCATCCTGGGCCAGAAGAATACATTCTGCGCTCTCGCTATTGTCTTGTTGATACCCAGGTGTCCCTCGTGCAGTTTCTCAAGCATCTCTCCTCTCGAGCAACTTGGTACAACTATCTTTTGTCCCTTAACGATCAGTCCTTGGGCTACTGTTAATTCATCTCAATAATTCCAAAACTCCTGTGCATTGGGTGGGACTTGACCTTTGGAATCTGGCCAACTCGACAAAATAACTTGTTGCAGGTCAGACAAAATCACATCTTCCTTAGTTGCCTCAGCGAAACAGGCCAACTGGTGGTCAGAGATAACATCCTCTACTGGGTTTATGTCCAATTGCTCAGCATTCGTCAGTTGTTCTTCCAAATCGGCTCGATACAGAGCATCTGCTAAATGTAGGCTGTCTCCACGCTTGTATACCACATTTATTCCTGGAAAGCGCTGGAGTTGGACCAACATCCGTTGCAGCCGTAAGGGTGCTAAGTGTAAAGGCTTCTTCATAATTGCCTCCAAAGGTTTATGATCTGATTCAACTGTGATATCACGATCCACGATGTACTCTGCAAACTTGGCACAGCCAAATACTACTGCCAAAAGTTCCTTTTCAATTTGGGCATACCTTTCCTGAGTAGGCGTAAGTGCCTTTGAGGCGTAAGCTATTGGTCGGTCTTCCTGAATCAAAGCTGCACCCAGTCCAGTTGAACTGGCATCAACTTGTAGCGTCAGGGCTTTCTTTGCATCATAATATCCTAAATCAGGGGCGAGGACAAGCGATTCCTTGATTGCTTTAAAACTAGCTTTCTGCTGCTCTTCCCAGTGCCACTCGACATCTTGGTGTAGTAACTGTCATAATGGCGCAGTTCGGTCAGACATGTTGGGGATGAATTCACTGACATAGTTGATTATCTCCAACAATCTTTGCACACCAGATTTGTCTGTCGGCGTTGGCATTTCAACTATGGCTCTGACCTTCTCTGGGTCTGTCTTCAAACCGTCATGGGAGAACAAGTGGCCATGGAACTTCACCTCTTCCTGTTGTATATGGCACTTTGACTTCTTCAATCTGAGATTGTTTTCTTTAGAACGCTGCAAAACAGCCCTCAACCGTGTATCATGTTCTGGCCCAGTTAGACCATGAAAGATTATGTCATCCATGATGACTTTCACACCCGGCAGTCCTTCAAAGACTTGCTACATCCTTTGTTGGTAAACTTCTGAAGCAGACTTAATCCCCATCGGCATCCTCAGGTATCTATACCTCCCGAAGGAGGTATAGATCAGGAGCTTGCTACTCTCCTCGTCTAACTGGATCTGGTAGAATGCTTTTTCTGCATCCAAAGTTGGAAATAGCGTGGCTCCTAAACAACTAGTTGTGATGTCATCTACCACAGGCAAAGGGTAGTGTTCTCTTTTAATGGCAACATTAAGATATTTAGGGTCCAAGCATACACGAATACACCCATCCGGTTTATCAACACAAACAAGGCTGCTCACTCAATCAGCTGGTTCATTCAAGGGGACTTTCTCCATGTTGCCAACATTCTCCATTCGATCTAACTCTTTCTTCAGTGGGACTCGCTTGGAGTGAGGGACTCGTCTGGGTGGGTGGGCCACAGGAGGAACAGATGGGTCAACACTAATTCGATATTTCCCTGGGAGGCACCCAAGTCATTGGAACACCTCAGGGAACTCAAGAATACTGACACTTGCAATAGGATGTATTTGCTGGATTAGACCCATATTCTCACAGGATGATCTACCCAGGAGGGGCACGTAATTTCCATCAACCACTTGAAAACGTACTTGATACCTTTCCCCACGCACCCAACAAGGCAACTCACACTTTCCAATGGGTCTAATACAAGTTTTGGAGTAACTTTCTAGTCTTGCCGAGGAAGGTTGCAAAGGGTTTGTTGTAATTTTGTCATATGCGATTTTGGGTAAGACGTTGCACTTGGCCCCAGTATCTAATTTAAAGACTTCTTCAACAGTTCCAAAATTGATAGTTTTAACCCAGTCTTTGTCTTCTGCATTGACTGCTCCAATGAACATAACTTGAGGGTCAGCTTCACAATCATCAAGAGTATTTACCTGTTTCTTTTGTCCAGCTGGGGTAGGACACATCCTTGAAAAATGGTTCATTTTCTGGCACTTGTGGCAGCGTCACCCAGCAGCAGGGCATTAATCTCGGGCATGTCGAATACCACAACTACTACAGGGCATTTCCCAGTGAGGCTTCTGTCCTTTGCCGTCTACTACATCTACTTTCTCAACTTTGCTACCCTCTTCTTTTAGGCTCTTCATGTGCCGCTTGTTTCGGCGATGCGAGCTGCTTGCAATGTTTTCTCTAAGCTCTGTTCTCTCTCCATGAACCTTTCTTTGGAAAACGGATCCTTTAGCCCCAGGACTAACATGGATGTAATCCACGATTCTTCTTTGTCACCGAGGTCGCTGTTCTTAACTAGTGCTTTCAATGCGCTACAGAATTCATCAACTTGTCTCTCCGTCTTGCTGTTTCCGTTCGATAAACAAATAACGATTGAAGTGCCTCGAGGTCAGTGGTGCACAATGAGCTTTGAACTTTTCCTCGACGGCCTCAATTTTATTCCGATCATCCTCGGAATCTCACACAAAATTTGAAAAAATTTCCACACATTCCTTGCCAAGCACGTGGAGCACCGTAGCGACTTGAATCTTCTCATCCTTTTGATCGAGTCCGCTCGCAACTTTGTATAGGTCCCATGACATTTTCCAACGCCGCCATACTTCGGCTTTATTCGTCGCTGCAGACAATAGCGAGATTAAGATCTGACGACGGCAAACATCTGGGACGGTAAGCGGAAGTGAAGTTACCGCCAGCATTACTTCCGTTTGCCGTCGTTGTGAGGTTTCCCGCCGTAGCGGCCTTGTCTGTGACGTGAAGAAAGCCATTTTGCCGTCGCGGCTAAAACGTGAGTAAACCTTAGCAAAATAACGCCATTTTAAGTTACTTTGGGTGAAAATTGTTGGCAATTTTAACAGTTTATTGTTTTGAGAGGATGTCTGTGAAATGGCCGAGCAAAAATAAACGATCTGTTCATGGAAATTTTAAATAATTCGTTTGCCTTTCTCATAAATAGTTCGTCGCTAAAACTAGCTCGATGTCAATCAAGCAACCCAGTAAGTTTTACAATCTCACTATTTCTCTTTATTTCGATGGAAAATTCGTAGACTAGTTCGGACATAAATTGATGGCCATGATATATATTATTCCAGGGGTCTTTTCTGGAGTCTAACCGACCACCGTGAACTATGGTTCATCTGAGAACATTTTCATAGTAACAGTTTCGGTAATGTTTTTCAGCCACAAAAAACGTACTTGATTAAGCGTGAAAAGTTTGCTTCAGGAAATTGGTTTAACATTTATCATCATGATAAGATTATACCTGTATTATGCTGCTTTGCATACATGTCTATGCTGTGATTC